GTTATAGTTTAATTAAAAATATTTAGTTAGTTGCCCATCACTGCCCATCCCCTCCATATAAACGCCACTGGGCATTCACAGTAAACTGCTCAGGGATAAAATTAAGAAACTTGTATTAAAATTTACTAGAAAAAATGTCTGAAGATACAACTGAAACACAAGAAACTAGAGGCGATGCTGTAATTCTGCTACAAAGTATTCTTAGTTTCAACTTCTTAGTTTTCCTTCCTTTCTGGCATGACATACTCAAAAAAATCGACCGTGTTCAGAAAAGACTTCAAGATCCAACAATGAATTTCCATGAAGCGTCTTTGGATATTGAATCTCTGCACATGGATCTGCACATCTCTTACAAGAATTCGTGAAGACATATGCAATGATTCAGTGCTAAAAGCAAAGGAAAAATGTGAGCTATGGGGTGTGGCTGTAGAAAGAAGAATCAGGCGACGGAGAAGGATGCCTGGAGAACTTGCCCGAGATGCAGGACTTTCGGCAGAAGAAGAAATTGTTCGTATCATGAAGAGTATTTTAAATCGACTCGAACAGGAGATGACAACAAGGTTTACTCGTCTCAAAGATCTGAACTTCAAATTCGGATTCTTACTTGATGTAGACAAACTTTTGAATGACAAAGATCTTAACAGTCTCCGTCAGCATTGTATTGACTTTGGAAATTTTTATGACTCGGATGTTGAAGGAATTGAGTTATTAAATGAAATATGTGACTGCAGAATGCTCCTTGAGACCCGCCAGGATACTGCACCAAAGACTCCTACAGAACTCTTGTCATTCATTATTAGTTACGGAGAAGATGTTTTTCCAAATTTGCGTGTTGCTCTACAAATCCTTCTTACTATAGCTGTCTCGATTGCCAGCTGTGAGCTATCCTTCAGTAAATTAAAAATAATTCTTTCCTATCTTCGAGCATCCATGGGACAAGATAGACTCAGCGATCTGGCCCTAATGAGTGTGGAGAGGGAAGTTCTTGAACAGATTGATTTTGATGATATAATTAACCAGTTTGCTGCTGTAAAAGCAAGAAAAATAAATTTTCTTTAAAATTCTGCTCATTTCCTAACCACAATTTCTAGACAATACTTAGCTGTTGTTTTGTTTTTAAATTTAATAATTTTTATTTCACACTTCTGATTCAGCGGACAATAAAAATACAGAATTATAAAAACTACTTGAAAGAATCTAATTATATACATCAATCATAATCATTTTTTTTTAATCATAATCATTTTTTTTTGCCAAATAAATGATTAAATGATAATCATTAATATTTTGTATTACAATATAATAGTTACGAACTGAGAAAGAATAATACAATTATGGTGTAAGGTGCAATATGCATATAGAAACATGAATACACTGAAATGCATTGTATATAGGCGTCACGGAGTGTAGTCTACTTCAAATACTGAGTACGACAGTTATATTTTATATAGTTTGACAGATTTTATGTAGGGGGCGCAAATTTTTTGTTTTGTCCCCGGGCGCAGAAGACCCTAGCTACGCCACTAATCTAGTGAGTCTAAATTTATAAATTTGGTTAACGACTGTGTTCTTTTTCAAATGATTGATGTACCTACAAGGTATTGCGGATCAAATAAACATTCATTATTAGATTTGGTTTTTGTCAAGGAAAGGGATTTGATCAAAATATTATCTTATTGTTCGCCATTTGGTAAAGGGGATCATTGTGTGTGGATTTTTGTTGTGTTTAAATGTTGAATGTTTCAGAAGTGGCATCTTATCAAAATTTGATTTCAAGAATGGTACGTATGAACTGATAAATGATTATTTATTATCAAAATTGAATGTCAGAGCAGATGTAATTAGTAGTAGTAAAAATGTTAATGAATTATGGAATTATTTCTTGAAGGTTTTGAATGAGGCAACATCTTTATTTATTCCATTTGTAGACATGGGAGCAGTTAACAATGGTCACAACATTAAGTTACCTAAAGAAACTTAAAAATTGATTAAGACGAAGAATAAATTTTGGAAAAAGTTTATTAAATTTCGGGAAAAGAAAATATTAATAGAACATTAACATTTAAGAAACCAGATTGAAAGAATTGTTATTAAAAGTAAAGAAGAAGAAATGATGAGTCTAGCTACGATGATGAAGAAAAACCCTAAAGTGTTCTGGTCAAGGGAAAATAAAGTTTCAATTGACACTTTTGTTGACAAAGATGATAATGTTATTATTGAAAATATTCCCAAGGCCAATATTTTTGCCAATTTCTTTAAAAGTGTTTATGTTGAGGATAACATATTGTATGGTGGGTGCTGTAAACAGAATGTTGACCAAACTATAAATTAAGCTAGGATGGAGGATTTGGCTGTAAATGCATGTGATGTGGAGAGAAAGATTGACGATTTGAGCCAATATAAATCTGCTGATCCGGATAATGTTATATTGAAGAAATGCAAGTTTTCAATTTATGCTTATTTGTCAGATTTATTCAATTTGCCCTTACACACAGGAAATATTCCGGATGATTGGAAACATAGTATTATTGCTCCCATATTCAAGAAAGGAGATAAACATAAAGTGGAAAATTATAAACCGGTTGCCTTGTGTTGTATGTGTTGTAAATTGTTGGAATCTATCATTCAAGATCACTTGATATGCTTTTTCGATAATAATAGTTGGCGTGACTGTAGGCAATATGGATTTGGGAAAGGTAGGTCTACCACTTTTCAGCTGCTCAAACTGACTGATGATTGGAGTAAGCCATTGACAATAGATTGGGTGTTGATGTTATTAATATTTAAACGGAGTTCTCAAAAAAGTTCATATTTTTGTAGACCTTGAAAAAGCATTTGATCGAGTTCCCCGTGAAGCAATCAGGTGGAGTCTACGTCGACAACTCATTCCAGAATATCTTGTTCGACTTGTGATGGAAATGTATACGAATACTAAGACTCTTGTCAGCACAACGGTTGGAAACACAGATGCATTTGACATCGGCGTTGGAGTTCACCAAGGCTCGATTCTCAGTCCACTTTTATTTATAACTGTGATGGAAGAAATCACAAAACCGATACGCACTGGTGACATTTGGAATCTAGTATATGCTGATAATATCGTTTTAACAGCCACGTCTGAGCAGAATGCAGCACAGATGTTTGAAGATTGGAACACCAGACTCGCCGATCATGGATTCAAAGTCAACATCAGCAAAACCAAAGCAATGAACACTGGTGAACCCATCCAATCCACAGCTACTGGACGATGGCCCTGTTCAGTTTGTAAAGCTGGTGTAGGTAACCAATTCAATCAAGTGTCAGCCAGTGTAACCAGTGGTGTCACAAACGTTGTTCAAAATAATTGGTACTTTATCTAAAGTGTCCAATTTTGTTTGTCCTGCTTGCATCAATCCACAACAACAAATTCAAAATAGCACTGTTTTTGAAGCCATTAAAATAGAGAAAGTCACATCGTTTCAATATCTAGGGGATGTTCTGGATTGTACTGGAACAGCTGAAGCTGCCGTTCGAGCACGCATACGTGCAGCCTGGAATAAATGGCATCTCCTTGCCTCTATATTGATACGGTGTGACATCCCACTACCACTATGATCAAGACTTTATAAATCTGTGATACGTCCGGTGTTGTTATATGGTGCAGAAACATGGCCAATGACAACCAAACTGGAACAACAACTTCAACGAACCGACATGAAAATGCTCCGATGGATGCAACGAATTAGTCTGAAGGACCACATCAAATCTATCGAAATCCTGCGTCGTGCTGGTTTAGATGATATAAAGGACGAATGCCGGCAACACCGTCTGCGGTGGTTTGGTCATGTCAAACGAAGTGGAAACAGTGCCATAACTTCTCTTGCAGATGTTGAAGTACCTGGCACACGTCCCAAAGGCCGTCCAAAGAAGTCCTGGTCGCAAACAATCGAGCAAGACATGAAAGCTCTGAATTAAAATGAAATGGATACAACTGATCGTCTAATTTGGCGCAAAAAGTTGATGGCAAAAAAAACAACGTCCTACCTCGGGAAACCGGGTCTCTGGACGCAAAACGAAGATTGATTTGATTGATAGATTTGATTTGATTTAATTGAATTGAAAATAGTTCTCAAAAGCGTTTGACAGTGTCTCGCATGGTTTGTTAATTTAAAAGTTGCGTAGGTATGGTGTTTGATCAAATGGATTAAAGATTATTTGTGTGGTAGATCATTTTGTGTGAGAGTGAATAATTGCCTGTTGAATAGGTTTAAAGTTAGCAATGGAGTGCCTCAAAGAAGTGTATTGGGCCCAGTTTTGTTTCTTGCCTATGTTAATGATCCTATTGGTATTGTTAAAAACGACTCTGACAATTTATATGTAGACGATGCAAAATTGTTTAATTCTATAAAATGTGACAATGACCGTGAAGTATTATAAAAGCATCTTGGTGTAGGTTGTGGAAAATTAATTTGAATGTGCTGAAATGAGATATGGTCAGATGGGTTCAGATGATGGACGGGTGTATAAAATAAATGGTATTAGTTTAAATTGCTGTGATGAATTGAACGATTTATGGGTTTTATTAAACAGTTCTCTAAGTTTTTCTAACCATATAGACAATATAATTAATAATTGTTTTTGCTTATTAGGTATAACACACAGGACTTTCAAATACTTGAATAAAAATTCATTTTTACTAATTTACAAATCTCTAATAAGGTCGAAACTCAAGTATGCAGCCACTGTTCTGTCCCATGGAAGAAGAAGGAAATTAAAGAGTTGGAGCGAGTGCAGAAGCATGCTACTAAGATGGTGCGTGAATGCAAAGAACTTTGGCACACCGATTGCTTAAAGTTGTTGGAACTGCCTATTTTGAGGTATAAATGAAAAGGGGAGATTTGATAATGCTCTATAACATCGCCATTGGTCGTGTAGACAAAAGATCCTCGCCAGATTATAATGTTAAGTCTCGAACCAGAGGACATCGTTTTCAAGATACATGTGCAGAAATATAACAACAACAGAAAATTCTTCTTAACCAACAGGATCTTTTCATTTTGGAACAATTTGCCTAAAGAAATTATCGAACCAGATACTGACGTAGAATTTAAAATGAAACTTGATGAGTATATGACTAATGAAGACTTGATTATAACATGGACACCATTGTTTGACTTTCATATACTGTTACATGGTTTATTTTTGTTTATATATATTCTGTTATATAGGTTATGTTTTTAGACATGGGCTTTTTGACTTCATAGTTTGAGCCCATTATAAGCTATTATATTATATTATATATAACAGGCTAGACACGTTTTGTCCATTTGTGAGACTTATCAGTGGCCGAAGTTAAAAAAACCAACCTGGAGCATTATTATCTCAATAGATAATAATTGTTTTTAGGCAGTTCAAAAAACATGTTGGTCAATAGAGACGTACTTCTACTCTGCCAATAGGTGCACGATGGTGTGTTGACTTGCATCTGCAAGTACATGAGTATGTATAGGGGCGAGAATTTGTCAACTTGCTACTGCAAGTACGATGGCCAGTACAAGTATGTATCGTACACAACCTTTCACCATGAGTTAGGTGATTACAACAATGCACCTTGTTACTTCAATTTCTATTGAAAGTAACAAATGTCAAAGAAACACCAACATCATTAGAACAATAATAACTACCATGTGGAAAAAATACTCGAGCACTAACCAGTCAGTGGAAAGATGGAAGAAGTAAGGTCTCTTGCTTCTTCTTGAGGTTGTTCATATAGTTGTTGCTGTTGCTCTATCAGTTCATGTTGTTGCTGCTCTATCAGTTCATGTTGTTGTTGTTGTTGTTGCTGTGTGTCAAGATCTTGCTCTCGTTCCCTCTACAGCGGAAAAAATGCAAAGAATGTACATACAAAATAATATAAAACATCTGTGTGACATTGAAATCAGTGAAATGTGATAACTTTAAAAACTATACTAAACAAAAAATTTTGCAAAGTTATAAGTTTACATTTAAAAAAAAATAGAAAATTTAATCAAATAAATTCAACTAGCTTAAACAGCTAACAACAGCTGGCGATACATAACAAAATTAAGAAATAATATTTATAAGACAATAAGTAGGCAAACTTTTTCGTTGTCAATATTGTTGTACAGTGTTGGGTCAACATCATCAGCCTCAGCAACATCATCGTGGGTGGATGTCATTTTTGTGTTGTTGGAGGAAGATGCAGATGGAGAGATGGTTGCCTGCTGTTGCGGTTGTTGAGGAGTTTGTGTGACGTCACCTGTTTTTTGGGCATCAGTTGTTGATGTCGTCTTGTTGCTGGTGAACGGCGCTGATGTGTTCGTCCACTTGTCTTTCATCCTCTTCTCCCGTTGCTCCTTCACCTCTTCATCCCTGAACTTCTCCAACTCGTGCATGATGTCCACCTTGGCTACTGGAACAAACAAACAAACAAAAACAAATGAGCGTATATTTTCGAAAGGCGCGAACATTTAAGTGAACATGCAAAGATATAAAAACACGACACACAAACTCACAAAAAAAGAACAACAGTTTAGCCATTCTTTTTGTTCAATTTAACCAACAAATAATTCTCCATGTTCTACGTTAAAACGGCTTACGCTAATTTTTTCAGATACATTTTAATTTTGCTTCATTTAGATACAGTAACTCGTATTTTTAAATTTCGCCACTTAAATTTTGTTTGATTTTTTAATTTTTTGCTGTATTTCAGTTTGGCAAAGGACATTGCCATCCTAATAATAATAATAATTATAAAAATAATGAACAACATAGGAACTGACTCAGCATAGTTTCGTGCATGTTGACCTCCCCCTCGAGAACTTTAGACTCTTCCGCCCACCTCGTCAGAGCAGCTGGTATGTCTGAAAGCAATCCAATGCTGTTGTTCTCATCCTCGGCCAATAATTCAGTTTGCTGTTCAATGAGAAAAAAGACAACTACAAATAACAATTATAAAAACTACGTTTTCCGTTTTCCATAAGAACCAGTTTGTAATATTACAACAAAGTTGTCATTAATTTCTATGTATAATGTGCAAGCAAAACTTCAAACAAATGAAAACAAGAAAAAAGACCTGGAATAGTGAGTCGAGAATTGATTCATCTTCAACTCTCGTGATGACTCTCAACTCGTCCCCTGACATGAGGTGAAGTCGAGTGGACCCACCTGTCGTCAGCGAGTTCGTCAGTTGCATCACATCTGTAGTTGCTCCCAACAACCTGTCAGAACCACCAAGTGATCAAACAATAATTAATTAAAACCTCGCATCTGTCACCTTCATAGAACATACAGACAATAGCATCATCATCATTATCATGCAGTGCCACGTTGTTATTTTCATTATTTTACTGCACTTTAACATTCTAAAGCCGATAGATGAACAAGCACGCTCAAAATGCAGCAGCTGGCTGGCTGCATATGAACAGTTTGATAAAGAGATTTATTACACAACACATTTCAAACAATCAGCTGAACAAAATAATGAAACAACAAATTAAACGAAGAAACAAACCTCTGAAGAATGGCAGGGGGGTTAACGTGGCGGGCCCTGGCGTACTGCACGTGAAGGGTCTGCGTGCTCGGATTGTATCGATATGTCTGGCGAGCTCTGTTGGAGCGATGCAGTCGTGGAGTGACAGCACCATCCTGCAGTGCGTACGTCGTGTGCTGACTGGTCTCTTGATTGCGCGCCAACAACGGGTGATTCACCATCACTCCACTCGGGGCCGGTGGTAGCACTTGGCCTGCCGACCCAAACAAATTCACAGAAGGATTTTAACGTAATTAATATAAAACAAATATAAATAGCTATCATGCTTATTTCACTGAGGTAACAATAAGAAGAAGAAGAAGCAGACAGACCTGGATCTCTTAGGAGTTCGGTGTCGTGCATGGCGATGGGCAGGTGGTAGGTGCGCACCTGTGCCCCTGCTGCGTTCTCCAACAACAGATTCCCTGGTTCGTGGCAGAGGGTAATAAATGATTATAAAACTTTACACGTCAAATGTATAAAAATACCAAAAATGTTCAATCTTCATGCCATGACTTTATGTTGCACTTATTTTACTTTGAAAAATTTACCTTCAAACTCAATTCCTTCATTGGCTCTTGACTCATCGAAGTGTTTGGATGCATTAATAATGATAATATGCCAGCCCCCAGATTGTTTTCAAGTACGTTTCAAAGAATGCATGAATGAATCCATGAATGAATGTGCATGTGATATTAATAAAAGAAGAATGACTGACCAGGAAGGGCATCTTCCCATTGGTTCATCAATTCGTCTGCACCTCCTCCAGCTCCTGCCCCTCCATTGTTTCGCTGGTTTTCATCATAATCAGCTCCTATGAACTCTTCATCTTCCTCGTCATCAATTATTGATCTTTGCTGTTTCAAATAATTTATTCAACTTATCATTAATTGGCTTCCATCATCATCATCAACAACATCATCAGCAAAAACAACAATATCATCGTCATCATAATCCTCATTATCAAATTATTGGCACTACCTTCATCATCGATTAATTTATTATTATCATCATCATCATCATCCTCAATTTATCCTCATCATCATTATTATTATTGTCATCGCGGTATAAATTTGTTACCATCAATTGATAACTATTTATTCAAATAAATTTATTCCTCCTCTCCCTCAGCACGAGCCAGTTGAACTTCATATCCCACTTTCAAGCCAATAAAATGATAATTTCTGACTAAGTAACAAGGAAGCTGGAAGTTGCGATGCAGACGATTCAGTGACGGAAACCCCTCCACGCATGCAGCACGCACGCACATCTCGCAACAGACTAAATGCAAAGAGCAAAATATTGAGACCTAGAAATTGAATGCCTAGAGATATCAACAGCAGAATGACGCGTTTGTTTCACTCATCAGTCAACGGAGGACCACTTGTTGCGAGGCAGGAGCTCACTACCTTGCAAGTGTACTCGACAGCAATTGCAGGCCTCTACTGTGCAATAACATAGAACAGTGCATCTAATCTGCCTCATTGGTCTTGAGAAACTGGTGAACCATGTCTCTTAACACAAAAACTAACTTAATACGCTCATGAAAATCTCTCTGCACAAGACTGCATGCACTACTGAAGAGCAGGCCAGACCCTTATCACCAATTCATCAAAGTTCTTCAAGTGCCGTGCACCAGAGCATCTCCAGAAGAAGTGAGTGGTACCAAGTGCTGGCTCAACAACACTAACTGGATATCAGCTCTCGCTACAGTACATGAGGTGACAACAACAACAACACACGTTTAGACGATATTTTCCCCGAGATCGGGGGTTGCCGTTTGGCTACCTATGATGAAACCGAAATACCCCTCGACGCCATCCACATCTGTCACTCGCCTCAGTATCACGCAACCCCGCTTTCACCCTGTCCTTCTCCACCTGCTCTCTCCATCCCAATCGCGGACGACCCCTTCCTACCACTCCTTCAACCTCGAACTCCAACGCTCGCCTAATCCCGACCCTTTCATCCCTTCTCAACACATGTCCATACCACCGCAATCTCAATCTCCTTATCAATGTCACAATGTCCTCATTCAGTCCCATCATCGACATCAGCTCTGTACTACTCCTCCTATCCTTCACTTTAACCCCACACATCATCCTCACCATAGCTCTTTCAGCCCTCTGCAGTACACTTTCTTCCTCTCTCCTCAACACCCAAGTTTCACCACTATATACCATCGCTGCTCTCACACAAGCTTTATATACCCTCCCTTTCATCTTTACTGACCATTTCTTTCCACACAATACCCCACCCAGTTCCCTAAATTTCATCCATCCCACACGAACTCTAGCCGTAACTGCGCTCAAACATCCTCCATCCGCGTTCAGCTTATCCCCTAAGTAAACAAAGCTTTCCACTCTTTCAATACCACCACTCAACCCCGTCCTTGCGTCCGTCCTATTAATCACACCATGAACACACTTCTTACATTTGAACGTGCCTTCCACCTTTTTCAGTGCCCTCCTCACACCACTACATCTCTTATGCACCCATTTCTGACATCCTATACACAATACATGAGGTAGATAGGCCAAATTGTCTAGATGCCAGAAAAATTATTTCTACACAAAAATTTCCAAACTGAAATTTTTTTGTGATGTTGATCAATTGGCCAACCAAAAATGCTTCATGTACCTAATAAAAAGTGGCTTTAAGAAATGAAACATCAGCCTAGCAAGGCTTAAGGAAATGGCTGTAGACGAATCATCATAGAATAATGTACTCAAGAGACAAAGGAATGACGGGCATCTACTCATGCGTCACATGGTGCGGCATTGAAGGGGGCATCACATTGAAGGGGTCCTCAACTTCACCACTGAACAAGAATATGCGTCCCATATTTTGGATTGTGAAATCATCTTAGACAATAAACCAATGAGCCTAATTCGTCGGCAACGTTAAAAATGTTTACAAAATAAAACTCAAAGATTACCTCATCATCTTCAACATCATCATCGTCGTCGTCATCATCGCCATCTTCATCATCATCATCCTGTTCATCCTGATCGTCATCATCCATATCTCCCTCCCACTGCTCGTTGTTCTGACGACCTTCTGCCAGCATTCAAATCAGCTCATTAATTAATTTAAATTAATCAATTCATTCATTCATACACACTCTTTGCAAATCATCGAAGGTTATTGGACTCAATATTCAACAATTTAGTAATCTTAAAAATTATGACTGAGAAGTTATAAATCAGTCTAGAAATATAAAGAATGGATGATACAAAAATATATTTGCTGTGTAGAAAAATACCACAGGTTAAACAGCAGGAGGTGTTCAAAGAAAAATTAAATTGAAAAACTTCTGAATCATTTATAAATTGAAACAAAAGAACAAAAAACAAACAAAACAAACAAACAAAGCAAACATACAAACAAATAAACACACAGACAAACAGAGAGACAGGAAAGCAAGCTGACAAACAGACAGCAAATAAACGAACGAATGAACCAACCAACCAACCGACAAACAAACAAAAATGAAGATAGATAATACAAGTATTGTAAAAATCAACAATGACAAAAAATTAAAATATTTGTAAAGAACACAAAAATAATAAAGGTAATAACAATAATAACTTAAAAATAATAATACCTCTGTTGTTGTGGTCTGCATCATCGTCGTCATCATCAACGTCATCGTCTTCATCGTCGTCATCTTCATTTTCTGACATATCCTGAATAACAACCTGCGCATCCCTATCATTGGATGACGTTAGTTCAATGTCAATCTCCACGGCACCTCCAGGGTTCTGCGCTGTCGATGGAGCTGCATGGTCAACTGTTGGTCGGTCGGTTGGTTGGTTGGTTGGGCCATCGCATTCAGTCAGACATCACACACACACACACACACACACACACACACACACACACACACACACACACACACACATGTTATCCATATTGAAACATCACACAAATGCATCACTCAGACGTACACCACCACACACAAATCATGAAAAACATGTGCATCATCACTAACATCAACATCACTAACATCATCATCACTAACATCAACATCAACATCAACACAGGGTTGTGTTCATATAGTGGCACAATTAAAAATATGGACAAAAACAAAAACAAGCGACAAAGGAATTTATTGTAGTGGCAAAAACGGTATAAACAAATCTTAGCATCAACAACAGCAGCTGCAGCAAAACATCACATGTTCATATGCCAAGGTAGAATAAAATTGTTGTACTACCAACCAGAAACAGTGATGATGTCACCGATGACGTCAGGTCCCTCTGACGTTCCTCTCTCTAGCAGCGTATCCAACACAGCATCTAAACGTCGCTCCTGTATCAACGTATCATCATCATATCATCACCAACAATATATCACTACCACCAATATATCGTCATCAATGTATCATCATCATCACCATCAATATATCATTACCACCAAAAATAAATTATCGTCATCGTTATGATGTCACAAAGATCATCATCGTCATTGTCATCATCACCATCGATCGTCGTCGTCACCATCGTCATCATCACCATAGTCGTCAACCATACATCCTCCTGGTCATCATCATCCTCATTGTTACAAATTATCACAATGTCGTCCTTGATATATCATGACCATCGTCGTCATCGCCAACAACATGCCCCCTCCCCCCTCCCCCCTCTCCAACAAACAGCCTCAAAGGTGCAGGTAACAGTAAATAAAACAGGCGTAGAAAACTGAATATAATGAAAAGCACCACTCAGAAGCTGCGCAGATGAATGGAAAAGTGATGAAAAAACGAAAAGTGAACAAAGAGCGCGATGATGAATCCAACCATACCAATAAATAATTTCATAAAAATTTGCCAAAAACCCGCATCCATAGTTTCATTCACTGAAGAAAAATGAAGAATGATGTGGTGTTCAACTAGAAAAATATAGATGGAAGTGAAACGCTTGCAGACTGACTTACTTGCACTTGTTCTGGCTCGAGAGTGTGGTGACCTCCATTATCGTCGTCGTCGTCCTCATCCACGACATCATCTTCATCATCGATGTCGAGCACATTGCTAGCCCGCTCGTCGTAGTAAACTGTGAGATGTGCAGCGTCATCGTCGTCGTCATCATTGTGGCCTGTCTCAATGTTGTCAATCATCATCGGCTGCATTCTTTCATTGTCTGGCGGTTGTACGATCACAAGTTTGCTTGGTTGTTTGTTTGTTGTATGAGCGCATGTTTGTTTGTTTGTTGATAGTACACACGTTAAACGTTTGCTTGTTATGTATTAACAGTTGCGTGCACACAAGTTATACGTTGATTTTCATGTATTTATTCTCTCATTCATTTATGCACGTTTATAACTGCTGTGACATTATGGAATGAACCTAAACTTGCAAACTTGAAACAAATCTGATGACATTTATAAGACAGTTAGTTAGTTACGTTACACGGCACACTCACTGATGCCGGGAGTACGAAGTCTACTGTTGAACATGAGATAACTGCTCTAATTAAATATTTGAAATACATTGGATAGAGAGCAATGTAACTGATGGATGAAGCAGTGTGAATGAGGACTGACGAACCTTCATCTAGGGTGTTGTTATGTTCTCCACTGTCATCATTGTTCATGAGATCACCTTCATCCTCGAATGCATCCTGTCTGCCACCTGCCATCTCTCCCTCATTATTCATCGCATCCCTTTCAATGTCGGCCTCTGCGTTCTCTTGCCTGGGAGCAGCTGATCCTTCAGCACCAACGACGTTGTTCACTCTTCCATTTCTTTCGAGAGCTGCCACCTGTCGACCTGACTTCTGAGTAGCTGCAGAATTGTTGGCTGCAACATGAGGCTGGTTGACAATTCGAGATAGTGTTTCCAGCGGCTTCAATGCGGCGTTCACAGTGGCAGCCATGTTAGGACTGGACAGGTCGAGATTGTGGGTCACTCTGGCTAAATCATTCACCAATCCTTTCTTCACCATTATCTTCACCATATTGTTCATAGTGTTCATTGGCCTGAAGAGCTGTCGCGTGAAAATGTTAATGAATCAACAATGAATTCAATAAATTGTAACAAATGATCACTGATAGACACATAAGTAGGTAGATAGATAGATAGATAGATAGATAGATAGATAGATAGATAGATAGATAGATAGATAGATAGATAGATAGATAGATAGATAGATAAAAGAGACACAAACCTGAGAACGCACCTGGTCGAACCTTCCACCAGATCCAGTAGAAGGACAGGCTTCAATGATGGCGGCAATGAGACCTGTGATTGCCTGTATTCTGCAGTGCTTCTCGTTACATTCATGCATGATCAGTGACCTCTGCAGAGAGGCTTTCAATTCATTGGCCAGGATGTTTTGAGCATCTGGACTGTGATTGGATGAAGCAATGCTGGTGAGAAGTAGACGAGAAAGTGAGGGAAGATGTGGATCCTCGTGATGTTCCGTTCCTCCGCGATGAATCAGGTGATCGAGGATGTACGACAACACCGTGCAATCCTGCAATCACCATTATCACTATTGATTCCTACATTACCAAATAAAATTCACTTTCACACAAAACTAACATCTAACTCACTATTCTGAAAGTGCACCAAATTATAAAGAAAGATGTTAAAAACATTCAACATTATTGACACAAATTTTGTGATGCACTAATCAAGTGAAAAACTAATTCACCCCAATACAAACTTCGGTGACTGGTCCAAATTCGCAGGCCTTAAATGATTGGTTGACAATGAAGAGGGCACAACCAACATACGAGCGTACCAACTCCGCCAGTAACCTCATTATGCTGGATCGAGACATCAATGGCTTATTGCTCATCTTGCTAGCAGCAGCTGTTTGTTGCTGTTGTGGTTGTGTTGCTTGCTGTTGTTGTTGAGTCTGTTCAACATCAGCTGCTGCTGTTGAGCTCTGTTCAGCATTGGAGGGATGGAGATTGTGAATGAATAAGTTGCTCCAATAAGCATGATACTAATTTAAAATTGACGTTCTAAGTGTCGAACCGTTCAAACAGTTATATTTAAAATAAGTATTTCAAATGCGAAGAAAAATATTTTACTCAATGAATTTTTGAATCCTGATAGTCTGATAGAAAGTCAGTATAGATGTGTATTATTATCAGAATATAATGCATGTAATAATAGTTACCGAAATACTGCTGAACCTAAATGCCGTCATTTTAATTTGAAAAATTATTAAACCGTAAAACCAAAGTCAAAAAGCATAAGCGAGAGTACAAATTTATTAATACAAATGAAAAACGATGTGCAGTAAGATCATTCGTTACTGAAGAGTGCCGACCTGTTGTTGCTGTTGATCTGCAGTGATTGTTCGATTGTTAGCAAGTGCCTGCAACAACACAAACACAACTTCCTTAGCGAGCTCTCCAAGAACAGGTGGACTGGCGTGACTGCTGACCGGCAAACTTTTCAGAAGTTGAGGATTGGCTGGGTTCAAAACACGAGCTTCATCATCATCTGAACAAATCATAAAGTATTTTTTGTCGTATTCAGCAAGTTTTTCATTAGATTCATTTAAGTAAAACAATGTCAATTTAATGAACACAGAAGTAAAATGAGCAACTAAATTCAATAACCACATGTAATGAATTTAATACAAAATTAATGTATTAATACAATAAACATAAGCAGCCCAATTGTCTTTCACAAACAACCAAACAAGCAAGCAAATGACCAATCAAATAACCAAACAAGCAAGCAAACAACCAAACAAACAAACAACTGACAAAGCAACCTCGTTTGATTGGTGGCACATTAATTCTAAGTACATTGGTGGCCACAAGTTTGAAGAGCGTCTCATCTCTGCACACAGCAGGACCCAACACTCGCAGCAAGTAATGCATCTCTTTCGATCCATTGCTGTTCATAGCCACGCCACAGGCATTCGAGCCGGCTCCCAATGTCGATGACCTCACAATTTTCTCCATGGCGTACTTCAGCGTTTGTTCATCTTCAATGGCGTGCCTCAAAATCAGTGTAGCCAATGATAGGAAGCCTTGAAAGTTTGACGACTCGTCAACCAACAGAAGAAGTTTCGGTCCTCCCAACGTGACAAACAGCTTACTGAATGTGTAGTCTCGAGTCAGTCTCAGAACGAGACGCATGCAGGCATGCAATGTGTCGCCATCAGCCCGACAACCGATCAATCCAATGCACGATCTATTTGATGTGGGTGGGTAAATTTACGCCATTTTCAATCATTCAACCACTTTGAACATGTAATTGCATTGTATCGTTTGGTATTAATCAATAATTTTAATAATTTTATTAATTTGATATCGCTCACGCATCTCGTTCATGAAATTTCAAAAATCAAAACTACAACAACACAGTTGCAATGCTCCCAGCCTCCTCGTTGGGCAACTGGAGACCGAAAGGCCTCAAGTGGGAGCAAACTGTTCAGAGATCAGAGATCAATATCAGAACAACCAGTCGGGTACTTGCCATGGGCAGACATGTCGCCGACCGAATGCCTGGCCCTAATACTCCTGGCTGGAGACATTGAAACGAATCCTGGTAAAGGAGCACTGATACGTTCAAAATTTAATGGACCATGTCATAACCAGACGAAATGCTCCAAACTTATACGAAATGTAGTAGCAAAAATGAATTCTGCTGACGGTGGCCAGGTTGTGGATTTGCCGCAATTGCACTGGGAAATCGTTGGCCCTCAACATATACGGATGAGAGAGAATATAGATGAAAAAATGCAAGCGATGTAACATGAAGATCAAATCAAATTGTGTTGCAATCCGGTGTAGATAGTCTGGCGATTCGTTCCACTGAGTTTGCAGTGGTATACGAGGATACTTCAATAAAGACACCATAAACACGCAGAAATGTTGGATGTGCAAACCAGGAAATCAGCAAAAGTCAGTTAGTGCTCCAAGAACTCAGCTTAATAATGTATGCTCGGTATGTAATAAAAAACTTAAAAAAGCTCCAATCCTCTTTGTCAGTTGTCAACAATCAAATTATTAAATATAAAAACAGGGTATGCACAGCGGAGAAATAAGAAGGGAAAATGTTAAATTTTGGTCACCATGCCCATAATATAATAGACAAGCAAAATGGATAAGCAAAACAGAATACTGAGGTCCTTAAGTGGAACAGATTAGAGGTGGAAACGGAAATCGCTAAGATCAAACTCCTCACTGGAGAAGAGAGACGAGCAACTAATGAGGTAATATTGGGGGTGGTGCACAACTGGGAGAATTGAGTGAGCACCCGATGGAAGCCGCAAAGATGGTGGCAGAAGTTCTGGAGAGACTGGGAAGAGAATGACCGGTTGATCATCGAATGACTACAACAACAAAAATTACAAGTACAACAAACAACTAACCTAAGTATGCAATCTACTTGATCAGGTGACAAACCAGTTATAATAACTTCTTTAATTTTAGGTTGTTGATGTTGAGATGCTTTTTGTGATGATGATGACGACGATGATGCTGTTGAAGGTGTAACATCCATCTTTACAACTGCTTTATGTTATTTATATTTTATAACCATTTTGCCTCACCGTCATGAAAAACAGAAATTTCAGTATATTAAACAAACAATTCTCTGACATACGCACACGCACACACACGAGCACGAACAAACCGACGGGCAGTCACACACACGCATATCTTACCAGACATACCCTCCGCCGTCGTTGTTGTTTTCTCACTGGATATGTTCGTTCCCGCCTGTCCAATGATCTCTTGTTTCTGTGGTACGTGCAACATGATTGGTCGCTTGTTGCCTGTTTCTTCATTTACCTATTTGTTGATTGGTTAATTAAGGTTGAAATTATAAGATGGTATGAATTGTATTGAGACATCTACCAAACGTTGTTAATATTTGCCACTAAATGAATCCATCGTGATTTTCGAATGTTCTCACGAAGGTCTGAAGCGATGCATTCAAATATATCACTCTCATATGTTGATTAAAGTGAAAATATGCATACAAAATTAACGCCAGCCTTGTTCAAGCACAACACATCAAAAGTAGCATTAGACTGCAATAGAAAACAACACTGCAAAAGTTATAATAATGGTAATGATGGTCATAATCTGGGTTATCCTAGTTAAGTATTAGTATCAGAAAATTTGCATAGCGCGCCTTGATGTTACTCAAACATGCTGTGGGTTATTGCAAAAAATGATGAGATTTTAGTTTTCTATGAAACTATTTCTAAAGTAGACGCAGATTGGATGACAAGCCATCCCAATAGTTGAACCAACGGCCGCAAAATTTCTGGCACCTTGAATCATTCGTGCCTTAGGAAATATTGATCATTCGAACAGGGAACAATGAAAAATTGTAATGACCTGAATCATGGTGTTGAATTGAATCATGTATCTGCGTCTGCCTGCTGTGAACCTGTCAAGAATTATCATTTATTTGTTTTGTATTTGCTATGAAATCAAGCATGATGCTCTGCTTGAGCAGCGTGAAACTAAAACCGAGTAGTTCAATTTTCAAAGATATTTTCTAGTATATTTGACATTTTTACACTTCTTAACATAATTTCAAGTTATTTAAAAATTATAAAAAGTCGATGATTTTTGTTAAATAAGCCAATGGGATTTGGTTTTTGATGCTAAGTAAACACGCAAAATAATCTTGGACATTTTACCTGATGCTAGAATAAGGCCATGCAACATTAAATCATCATATAATCTGGATGACAACTATAAGTCATGCTGAATTGGTCCCATCATTGCACCATCATCTCACATCTCACGAACAAACCCAACACAACAACTACAATGAAATGCACAAACAACAAAACAAACAACGGAACAGAACAGAAGAGAAGGAAAGAGAAGAGTAGCAGACGAACTTGACGGAGGTCTGTCCCTCCCAGTATGCATCATCGATGGTCCTGTTGTTGCCTGCTCCATAGTTCGACCACTTGCCACTCCTGTCATCGAACCATTTCCACGTGTGTAAACCTCCCTGTTGTGTGTGAAGCAGTGTACGATGTATGTGTGCGCAAGTCGTGTACGTGCGTGCAGTGCATGTGTGCGTGCATGGGTGTGTGTGTGGACGTGTATAGTAGATAAGTATGAGCTGAGCAATACGTATGTACAGCGGATATATGTGCACAGTGCAGTGGATGTATGTGTGGAGTGCATGTGTATAGTGGATTGGATACGTGTGCATTTCAATAGTTGGGTCAGGCTATAAAAACTATCAAAAAGATCCAGTTAAAAACCAACAAATAACCAACCAGTAGTTTTTCCAGTGTGGCCCTCTTCTTGGTGGCTAAGGACATTTTCTCATAGAGGTCAAGCATCAGCAGCAGCGATGCAACCCACCTGAATGAATATTATTACGTCCAACGTTCTCCATTCAACGTCATGTTCAGCACATACAATTCAAACCCTGTATTGCTAACTTATCCAAATATTACAATTAACGTTTATGAAGATTTTCAAATAGCACTGAGCATTATCATATACTCAAGCAAGTTGAGACTTCAAGTAAAAAAAACAGAAACTATTTAAGATTGTATTATACAAGCAAAATTAACTAATGTTGCTTTCTCTCAATTTTATTCATTAAAAATGTTTCACAACTCATTAGAGATTTGAGTTAACACTGAAGTTAGTTTAAACTGACCTCGATCTTGAAGACAAATGCTCAGAAGTTAACTTATGTACAACATCAAAAGTGAAATTCTTGGACCATTTATTTGGACAAATCGTAACGGTCAAAATTAAATTGAACTATCAAAAATAGTTGGGAAAGAGTTAGAAAAAAATTTTATTAAGCCGGTATCAACACAATGTGAGGATGCTCTGATTTATTCATAAGAAGCTACCATTGCTACAAAACAAAGAATCAAAAGAAGCGAGTAAGCAAACAAACAAACAAAAATACATACATACATCCAAACAAACAAACGAACGAACATGCAAACAAGCAAACAAACAAACGAACGAACATGCAAACAATCAAACAAAGAAACGGCAAACAAAGAAACGTACTTAGGTGTGGTGGTCTGTGGAGCAGCTGATAGGCATTGCTGCGTGTAGTACAACAACTTCACCAGCAAGTCCAACAGAGATGGATCTTCCAATGACTGGACGCACGAAAACTTCAGGCCCTGTCAGTGCCATGTAATCAATGCAATGACTAACTCGATGTAATGTAATCAGCGTTATATAATTATTGTAATCTAAACGACGTCAGCAACGTTAACATCAGTTAACATCAGTATCTTCAAAGCTAAAATCAACACATTAATGCAACAATTACAATAATAGCCATCATCATTCCATCAAGAAAACAATCGCCCTCACGAAAGGGCCTACATTCCCACCAATCACGTCATAACGCTAAGACATATACATTGCGTGCGAGGCCTGGCATCAATGCGTGATGTCTGTGTTTGTCTGTTTGACAGTGAAGCAAGTACAACAAGAGAACATTTAAGAAAGTTATTTGATGCGACTACTGACAATCTAATAATAAACTAAATTTTTCCGCTAACAAATCATCAGTACACCAGTCCCACAAATCACCATCAACATTGCGATTAAGTTAATCTCATCATTATCATTATCATCATCATCATCATCGTCACAAGCAGCAACAGAAGATAACCTCGAAGAGCAGACTGAGCAGATGCAACCTGACAGCAAGTTGGTTGGCCTGTTGGTCCGTGGAGAGTTGATCTGCCCACTCCTTCACTGACCTCTGGTCGCCGGTGCTCATCGGCGAGGCCTTCTCCACCAGGTACATGCAGCAAGTCTTTATCTGTTAGGTTAGTTGGTTGGTTGGTTGATTGATTGGTTGGTTGATTAGTTGCTGACAGCCGATCGTTACTGATTGTAACAAATTCAACAAATTATTAATGTAGCAAATTATAAATGGATCAATAGGCAACCAGTGATTGATGAATCACACATCGTTAACTGACTGATGGTATGCAGCAAGACATTCTTCAGTGATGATTGCACATCGATTAAATGTTCAAAAACAGTAAAATCAGCCAAAGTATTAGACAAGTACTAACAGAAATCATGCAACAAAATTGTCATCAATTGATCCATCCATCCATCCAACCATCCATCCATCCATCCATCAATCAATCAATCAATCAATCAATCAATCAATCAATCAATCAATCAATCAATCAATCAATCAATACATCAATTAATCAATCAATCAACCGACCAACCAACCAACCAGCCCGAAATAACGAAAGACTAACTTGTGAAATGATGTTGAAGAACATTGCATTGGTCCAGGCCTCGCCATTGCGTTCAGTGAGGATGATGAGGACGTCAGACACCCTGTAGACACAGCCAGGAAGAGCATCCAAAAGCCTCAAACAACCTGCCAAAACGTGATTGCATTGTTTTTCATGAACATTTACATATGTCATACTATTAAAGAACACAGTGTAACAAACGCATTTTCGGACCAGTTACATTACAATACATGGCTCCAGTAACATGAACATAGGGATGACGACTAAAAGGCATAAGAGGCAAAGCATTATTATCACCGTTAGACACTAAATTGAGCTACACATTTGTAGTACATTATCCCAATACAGTTTCATTCATTTACCAAACCATCATTTAAACTCATTCCTTAATGCCTTAGTTCAAACTATAAAAATGCACCTACCTAAACCATTCATCTACACCCACACGCACACACACGCGCACTCCTCACACACGCACGCACTCCTCACGCATGAACACACACACAAAAGACACAGAGTAAAATGCACAGACCTGTCATAATGTTACTGGTAAAGTCAGTGATAATCTCCTTGGTCAGCACGTTTTTGTTGACATCAGATGCTGCTGAAGATGATGCTGTAGATGCAGTTGCCGTTTTCTGAGGAACCTTATTTGCTGATGGGGATTTCTATTTAGGGGATATTAAGAGGTATGATGATACGTCACTGCAGTTCATCACGCAGTCCAGAAAAACTACGTATTATTCGTTTGTAATTCTCACACACTGATGGAGCATACACATACACACCACACCACACCACACCACACACACACACACACACACACACACACACTCACTGTAACTAACAATTTTAAATCCAATAAATTAAATCTATACTTCAATGCTAATTATGTTTACAGGAAATTTGAAAGAAGCTTCCTGCTATTTTAAATAACCCTTTTGTCATACATAAAACTTTTAGACGAATAAACTACCTGTCAGATAGTTTTGAGTGAAGTTAAAATGAAATTAAAAACAATTTTGTTGACTGATTTCATTGTTTCACTGGTGAGATAAACTGGAAATGTGATCTAAATTTTATTCTCATTTGAGTTTTAATTTTAGAAATAGCATCATTCTATAGATTGCTTTGCTGATGTATAGATAGTCATGGAATGTCTATCCAGTAGATTTCTGCTTAGATACTAAACATTATATTCGGAATTAAATATTGTGTATGACACCATGCATGATCAATAGCTACAAACTTTTAAATTTATATTTTATTTAAACTGCCTCGTTAGTGTTGTGTGTCATCTTCTTTATTTTCTAATTATTCTTGCAAAATAATTCATGGAACACAACGAAACATTAATACCAATACCTTACATAGTTTTAATAACATAGTTCAGCAGTTTTTGTAACAACTAACACGCTCATGAATTACTTATGAACCATTATTTTTTGACTGTTTATGTTGAAAATCGAGAAGAATATTCGTGAATTCTGTTTAGGTGGCCACACTACATGAGTTCTTATGTGAACTCTAACACGGCCATCCTGTCTTCTTATTAATTTCATAATTTTAAGAAGCAAATAAAATTTCGTTTCATAATAAAATGATTGAGAAGTTAATGCTAAGCTACATTCCCATCACACTGAAAGGAGTGCTTACAACATCGATGTTAATGCTTAAATAAATAGAAAGTAAATATCTAGGAAGGAGGTTTTTGGAAGGTAATTGTGAACGCAGCAAGCAACACAAAAAAAAACACAAAAATCGAGTGTAGCACATAGAGCAGAACACAATGCATGAAGTGCACGACGGCATTACACCACCACCACCACCAGCAGCACCACCACCACACACAACGACACAACACGCAGAACGCAACAGGACAGCACAGCACACAACACAACAGCACACCTCATCAACATCCTCTCCAAGAGACATGGCAATCGCTCTAATCATTTGGTCCTCCTCTGACGCTGACTCTGACTGTAAATCAATGAACACGTCGTCAATATCACCAATGATGACGATGATGATAATAATAATAATAATAAAAGGTCAATTACACTCATCCAAAGGTCAGGGGAATCAGCAACACACAAACAGCGTATATGAATACATGCTAGACGACGCTCACACACAACGCATGTGATGGGTGGAGATCTTTTTGTCATATTTGAACCTGGTCACTGTGTAACCGACCATCCAGCAACAAATACAATATCCAACAACACATACACACAACATTCCACAACACATACAACATTCAACAACCAATAAAACATTCAACAACCCATACAACATTCAAAAACTTACACAACATTCCAAAACCCATAGAACATTCAACAACTTACACAACATCCAACAACCCATACAACATTCAACGAGACACAACAACGGCAACTAAACAGTTGATAAGTACCTGAGCAGGAGGTGGATGGAAGAGACAGTACTCAGTGGCCTGTTCGAGTCCATCACATCTGAGGAGTGCCTGCGTTGCATGAGCCCTACTGAAGCCCATGTCCATCAGCTGCATGTCAACAACGGTCAGGTGAGCAAGTTTTGAGGTTTGATTCAGAAAACATTAATAAATCATCACCATAAAGTGAAGAATATTCCACCAAACAACTTGTACAGTACAACACATACACAAAAACATCATCCCAACAAACAACCTGCACAACACAAACAACACACCAACACAATTCACCTGTTGAAGATAATTCTCATCCACTCCACTTTCTTCAATGGTTGGTGCATTCAATGAATCGTTGGCTGCACTTGATGGTCCGGCAACAAGTCCTGCATTGCTAGCGTCTGTTGCGTCTTGGCCGATGGATGCATTGTTCAATTGGTCCGACGCACTTCCTTCCACACCCGGCTGCACTTGTTTGTCTCTGTTCATCCTATTCTGTTCGTTTGAGTGCGATGTAAATGTAAGTGCTTGTTCGCCAATGTCCACAAATATGCAGGCACACATTCTCCCAATCAAGAAACATATGATTAGCTGCAACACCCTAACTAACTAAAATGTCAGCAAAGACTGGTGTAAATGAGCAGAGAATCATCCCACCAAACAACCTGCACAACACAAACAACACACCAAATGTACATCATCCGCACTATATATCTGCACCAAAGATAGCAAATGATGCCGAAAATGCAATGATAAATAAATAAAACTGTTTAAGAACCTTGATGATAGCTTCAGTCTTAACGATGTAACATATGATGTTCAGCATGGCTTCACAGATCCTGTGCCCATGGAAGTTCAACAACTCCTTGTTCCACAGGTATGTGATTGCATCAAAACCCATCTGCAGGTTACGCAGTTCACACGTTAATGTCACACTAATACATCTAGTCGAACAAAAAAAAAGAGGAGAAGAATGAAGAATTCAACTATCTGGCATGAAGACAACACTGGTCATTAAGTTGGGTTATCGGCAGATCTGCAGCATGCCTCACAATGCAATAAGTCATCTCAAAAAGTAGCTGCAAGATGATTGGGTTTGAATGCCACCTGTTTGAAACTGCAAGACCGTACAATTGACTGTGGTGTTTAATAGGATTGTACCAGAACTTAGCCCCGGCTCCGGCCGAATATCCGGCCATTTCTTACTATTCGGCCATATTCGGCTCCGCCGGATATCACTGCCGAATATTAAACATACAGTGTCTACATTTATTTTGACATGTATAAAGTAGACATACGTTAATTAATGTTTGTTACATTTGGCCTGGATTGTTCATATATATATATATATATATATATATATATATATATATATATATATATATATATATATATATATATATATATACATACATACAAATACGAGGCCCTCAGATTATATTTTAGGCGATAACATTGAAATGGCTTGATATTTTAATACGGGTGAATACATTTATAAATATCATAATGTATTTTTGAAAAACACACTGAGATGATATGAAGTAAATTGCAAAAAGTTTGCAAAAGCATTTGTTGAATGTGAGGAGTTAGTGTACAAACAACATTTTTTGTTTGTATAACTCCAACATACATACATAAATGCATACATACATAGAGACAAGCTCCACGAACTAATAACCTTTTCAATCTGAGCCAAATAGACCAGGGGATCAAAATAGTTTGCAGTTGTTTTAGGGGGCATGGAGTAAGGTGACTCGATGAGGTTCTTGGGATTCAACATTCTGTCCATGAGTGTCAGCCAGGCATCAAAGAACTCACTACTGCCTTCTAAAAGTTCAGGCAAGTTTAAAATTTTTTCTATTAAATTTAAAATGAAGGCAGCATGTTTACAATTGTAAGGAAATAATTCATTATTGAGTTAATTTTATGGTTTGAACGAATTAACAGAATATATCGTGTTATTTAAAATAAAAATTGGCATAAAAATAATATGCACAAAACTCTAAAATGAAAAAATTGTAGTAGTTGAAATGTGGTAATATTCAAGAAGATATGGTAAAACAAATGATTGAACAAACCAGATAGTTTTGTGGTGTTCATGGCAGTCTGCTCATCCAACGTTCCTCCATCACACAAAACCCACATAAATGTCCTGCAATAATTTTGTTTGATCACTTACTCGTTCAAAGACTCAGTCAGTCATTAATTAATTAATTATTTAATTCACTCATTCATTTAGTTATAAACTTATTCAGTTGAATCAATTGAATCAATCAATTGATCAACAACCAATGAACAACTCACAGATTTCTATGACGAAAAAACCACCAGTAACAGCAGCAGCAGAAAGAACAAAAATGAGCAGAGCAATGAATTGAGATAAAGAGAGGAACTAACTGATACAAAGCCTCTATGCCACCTGCACTGACAAATTCTTGCAGCATGAGGTGGTATGGAAACTTCTTGTCATCGAACAACATTGACGACGTGAATCCGATTGAACATATGAGGAAAGTCAGCCTGCAGTATCGATGCATGTACATTTTACATCAACTAACATCATCCTTACTATGAAATCACCTGAACCAGACAGCATTGAGCAGTCAAACGGTATCATGACTTCAGTACAAAATCATCATAGTATAATAAACTAAACATCTTTGCGTTTGCACTGCATAGTGTGTTTTTGTTTTTCGGAGTTCTCATTTTTCAGTTATTATTATAACTGAATATAGTTATATTATACAACGTGACAATGTTGTGACAAATTAAAAGACGCAAAAGTTTAAAAAGTTGGAAAATGTCGAAAAAAATATCAGTTTTATTTGATCATTTATTAAGATTGAAATGTGAAGTGGATTTTGTCAACACTTATTATATTTTGAACGTTTCTGTCGCACTACCTGTTTGTTCACTTCGGGCCTCCAGCATTTTTCAAATAATTAAAATCGAATTGAATGAATACTTCTGACGCCGAGTACCAAATTTGATACCACCGGAACTTTTTAGAAGAAAAATCAATATACCACACCAACACTTTTGAATGTCAAATAAATATATTTCTATCAGTAGTCATTTCAATTTCCAATTGAACTTCAGTTGGTAAATTCGGGTTTCAAAATAAAGTTTTGCCATCTAATTTAATTTAATTATTAATATTATTAAATAAATTGTTCAAATAAACGATTAAATATTAAATAATTTCTTTTGTCCGCAGAATGAGTAAAGTGAATAGTAAATTTTCATGGAAAATATAGATCACAATATTGAAATTACGACGGCCTGCAAACATTTATTTGTATTGGCGTTGTCGGAAATACTTTCAAAAATGAGTATTAGTATTAATATTGGCAATACCTTTCAATGTTGTGATATAATTTTGGAGTATCATTAACAACCCTGCTGCCATCAACACATCCATCCATCCATCCATCCATCCATCCATCCATCCATCCATCCATCCATCCATCCATCCATCCATCCATGAAAAGGTTCCTACCTGAGTCTCCAGACAGTGCCCCCCTCGGCAGGGAATGTGAGCAGCCCAGAGTTGAGCAGTAGCGACAGTTGCTTGGACACTGTCCTGGCAATGGGGGATGGTGAAGGAAGGAGTGAGGGAGCATTGGTCTGGTGGTGTGTGCGTCGAGGACGCGATGGTGTGCCCACACATGTGCGTGCCAACAGATTGAAGAGTTCAGTTAGTGATCGACCGAGTTTCGATGTGATAGCAAGCAGTGGCTTGAGGATGTGAGTTCGTGTCTGAATGTTGATGTTGTTGGAAGCTGGCAGGGTTGTGTTGTTGTGATTGATGGCTCGGATCAACACAGATATCGTGTTAGAAACATTCGTTAGAGACTGCATTGGTGGTTGTTGCTGCTGCTGCATTCGATGTTGACACTGTGGATCTGCTACCAATTTTAAATGATGCACACAGCATTGAAATAAATTTCAATTACTTGAAATCTAATTGCATTTCAATTGAACTTGCATAAATGTTAGTGAAAATGTCAAAAGATTCATCAGCTGGTCAAAGAAAAGTCATTCATAAAAAGAAATTTTTAAAAAATTTGACAACATTTCAACACAAATGTTACTACATCACTCCAAAAAAACTTATAATAATATAATTAATAGAAAATTTACTAAAAAATTATATAAACAACTGATAATTTATAAACGCTATTTCAATATTGTTAATTAAAACACAAGAAAAGAACTGAAAATGGAAAATGAAACCTTTTGCGTCAACATCCATGGCAGACATTCCATGTTGCTCACTTGCATTCTTTTCCTGGTTTGTTTCCATGGGAATGCATGTTGGGAGATTATTTGCCGACGACAGTGGATGAGATTGGGTAAGAGAGGATGTGGGTTGTGACGATGAGAACGACAAGGATGATGCTGCTGCTGCTGCCGATGCATCCTCACTTTCACCCTGCTGGCCCTGGACAATGAGATGGATCAACTTGTTGAGGTTGCACGTGTTGACATCACCATCCCTGGTAACGGGGATGCCCAGTGGTTCGTTGCTAGACGGAGGAGTGTTGTATTCGCCACACAATCCGATCAGCATGGAGCTCTCCCAGACCAGGGATGTGTAGAGCATGGACAGCTTGCTGAGAACTTGCATGCCCAAGCTGGATGACCAGTGGTTCAGTGTTATCGTGCGAATGTCTCCCTGTCCAATTTATTGTTGCAATCATGTTTCAGTCACAGATCATTTCAATGAAGCATGCATCAACAATGCATTCGCAATCACACAGGTGCAACAGGTGCACATCACACAAGCATCAATCTATTTGGTGTCACTCGTGCAAGTGCAAAACCACGTGAGCATTCATGATGTGGCTAGGCCATCAATTCACTCATCAGCATATTTATTTTTAAGTAATATGCTATAGTTATGTATGATACGTGACATGCGACTACAACTACACAAACGGCGAGACCAACCTGGGTGACCTTACATATGCTGATGAAGACAGCAACGCAGGAATGAATAGAAGTGAGATAGTGCAGGAGGGGTGTTGCCTGCTTCGATCTGAATGGCTCTTGATGGTCACTGAGAATAGCTGAGATGAGTTCTTTGAAGAGGACTGACTCGGCAGGTGATTCGTTGTTCAGCGAGTACATGAGGTCAGTCATGCAGGACAGCAAGTTTTCCGTCAGTTCCAAGGTACTTCGTAGGACTTGCGGATCTCTAGTCAGAGTCTGTGGAGGTCATAGTAATTAATGTAACAAAATATAAGTAAACTGTCCTGTGCAGCCGACTTCACAAATGTGTGTGCAACTAAGAGAAATAAGCCAAGAGCTACACAGAATCATAAAAGAGAACTCACAAGTATAGATTTGCAGACACTGGCGACAGCGAGACATGATGCAGATGACGGAAAGTCAACTGGTAGATTTGGAAGGATGAGTATGTTCAACAGTGGCTTCAAACCTTCCTGATGTACAAACTCCCGGCAGTGATCGTCCGTCGTGTTGTTGCTCAGTATCGCTTCGACAAACTTCATCTGGTGGTTTGTTTATAAGCATTAGCTCACATTCATCATTCACAATAAAAGATCATAATTACTGCTACAAGGTTACAACGGAGCAAAAAACTTAATATTCTGTGCATATTATTTTTTTAACTATCAACCAATATTAAGGGCTTGCTTTCTTAGGAGATACAGATGCATTCGTTCATACAGTGAAATCATAACGTTACAACACAGCAACAACATCTCATCAAAACACAACACAACAACACTACAACACAGCAACATCATGAGACTTGCATTACAACAACATGAAACTCACAACGTTGAGAACATAATCCACCAATGGAACGGACTGCTTATCCTTGGATCTGTTAGAAAAAAAAGTCATTCCATTTAGTCAGTATGCTTACTTTAGGCACGTGAGATACATATGATACACATATATACTGAATTTAGTATCACATCATACCATTTCATATCACAGCAACATCACATCCCAACATAGCAACCACACCACAACATGGTAACTGAATAAACTAAATCTAGAACAAAAAAGAACCTTATTTAAAACTGAATCAAACTTGCTCAAGCTTACTCAGCAACTCTCAAAGACATTAAATAATGATAGTAACCCATGATCGACTCTGTTTTCGCGGGTCGGGGACTTATTTGATGCTCCCTCGGTTGATGCACCACCTCCAACTCCAGCACTGCTGTGTATGCTGGCCACATCATCTTCATCGTCCTCGTCGTCGGAACTGTTTCCCGAGTTGTTGTTCTGTTGTGCATTGTTTGTGCTGTTAGTGGCTGGAGCGGGGGTGGCTGTTGAAGTGCTCATGTTGATTGACACGTTGGCCTTCTGACAGATCAGATCAGGATCCTGGCCCAAGTTGCTTACCTCAACCAACAACTGCATTGTTTCAGAAATGTATGCAAGTATGTATGTATGTATTTATGTTTGTACTTTTCTGTGTATGCGCGCGTGTGAAAGCATATAGGTGTATGCTAGGTTATATCTTTGGTTATGGCGTCGACACGTGCTATCCAAATAAATGAAGTTTTGTTTTATTTGTATAATAATATAGGCTCTCTCGATAATGAGGCTTTTATTAATAGCGTAAAAAAATTTTATGGACTTGACGATTTTAATAGTAGCAAAAGACTGATTTTGAACGACTTGGATAATTCAATATTCGATAAAACTGCTCTTAAACTTGCTCAAAGGGCTAACAATAAACAGGATAAACTTTTGGACATTATTGATATTATCAAGTTTTGTTTGGATAATAAAATAGAAATGCCTATCTACGTTGCTGCCGACAAAGGAAAAATTCCCGAGCCGAGAATTGAGTGTTTTTTAAATTTATTAGAATCTAAATTAAAAAGTATTGAAAATAAATTTAATGATAAAATAATGGAACTTGCTCAAGAAATAACTAATTTAAAATCGTATAATCCTGTTCCTGTTATACCAAGTAAGCCAAACTTGGAAACTTCAGATTCACGTAAAAGTAAAATAAATCAAAATTTAAAAGTTAATTTACCGAAGCAGTGGTATGAGGTTTCTGATGAAAATTTGTCTCCAAATTCAGATTCGCTTAATGAAAAATTTGGGAATCCCGAAGATGGTTTTCAAGTGGTTCAGTCAAAAAAGAGAAAGAAAAATTCACCTCCTTTGATACTACCTCAAAAGCAAAACAATATTACTGATCCTGCCTTTAAATTTCCACTCACAAAAACGACAAAAACCTTTGGAACAAACAATAATTGTTCTCTTAAATCATCAAAAATCATTGAGAAGAAAATGACATACTATGTGGGCAACGTGGAATCCTACAAAAAGGAAGTTATTGAAGAATTTTTGAAAAGTAATAATATTTCATTCAACCATTGTTTCCCAGTTTTCCGAAGACGTAACTCCGATGATATAAATATTAATAATACCAATAAAGAACCTCAAATTGAATCAACAGCCTTCAAGATTATTCTTCCAAAGGATGAATGCGGCAAGTTGGTAAACCCAGAAATCTGGCCTAAATATACTTTTCTTCACGAATGGGATTACAACTATTCTAAAAACAAGAATCCTATCCTCAAGCCAAATCATGGATCACAGCTATAAATTAAATGATCTCTCTAATTTAAATGATGAGTTTAATAAATTTTTTACTTTATTTAATAATTTTTCAAATTATTTTAATGCTTTTGATTTAAAAAACACTTAATTTCTTCATTTAATTTTAATTTAATTCATTTTAATGCTCGCAGTATTCTTAATAAGGTAAACGATATATCTATTTTATTATCTAACCTTGGTGATGCTTTTAACATTCTTGCTATAACTGAGACCTGGCTTGACAATAGCAATGCTGACCTTGTTAAAATTCCTAATTTTACTTTTATTTATAAAAATAGAGATTCTAAATCCCGTGGTGTGGGAGTGGGATTTTTCATTAGGAATGGTTTAAATTATCTGATTAGAGATGATTTGTGTCCAAAGTCTGAGCATTTTGAATATATGGCTATTGAATTGATCTTAAATCATTCACATAATATTATTATTTTTGTTGTTTATCATCCACCAAATAAGGACCCTAATTTGTTTATTGATAATTTAGTTTCAGTAGTTAATGAAGCTCAATTGAAATCCCGTTCAAAGCATATTTATATTACTGGGGATTTTAACATTAATCTTTTGGGTGATGATTGTCACAACTATTGTTCTAATTTTTTAAATGCCTTTAGTGCTATTAATTTTTTACCTTTGATAAATAAACCAACAAGAATAACAGAATATTCTTCAACATTAATTGATAATATACTCACTAATCATTTTTCAAATCATTTTTCAGGTATAATCATTTCAGATATTTCTGACCATCTTCCCATTTTTACTTTTAGTCAAGAATTGTCGATTGGTCCTATAGATGATAACCAATTTATTACTCGTAATTTTTCTAAGAAAAATATTAATGGTCTTGTTAAAGCATTAGCTTTTCAAAATTGGGAACCAGTTTTATATAATAATGATGTAGATTCGGCTTTTTCAGTTTTTGTTGATATATTTCGTTATAATGTCATAATTGCCCTATCATGAATCCAAATAGTAAAGTAAAACGACATCCTTGGTTAACCCGAGGTCTTTTAATCTCTGCAAAAAATAAGAACAAATTGTACTCAAAACTTTGATCTCACCCTACTACCTTAAATAAACAAATTTATACTAAGTATAGAAATCTTTTCACACACTTAAAACGTCTAGCAGAAAAAAAGTTTATAATAATTTGGAAAAAAAACAAAAATAATTTAAAACTCACTTGGTCTTTAATTATTAAATCTATTAATAAAACTAATTCAATTAAATTTCCTAATTTAATTAAAGTTAATGATAAAATAATTGATGATAAAACAGAAATTTGTGAATCCTTTAATGAGTTTTTTACTTCTCATTTTAACTCTGTTCTTAATAATGTAGGTTCTGACAAGATATACACTTTTTTGCCACATTCAAATCCTCATACATTTTTCATGCCTGAGGTTTTAGAAACTGAAATACAACGGATTGTGAAAGGGCTTAGTAATTCTCACTCACAGGCTGACGATTACTCCTCAAATTTTTTGGTTAAACAAACGATATTATCAATTCTTAAACCTTTAATCCATTGTATAAACCTATCTTTGCAGAAGGGTATTTTTCCAAATTGTTTGAAGACGTCAAAAGTCATCCCTTTATATAAATCTGGTTCTCGTGATTTAATAAATAATTATAGACCTATATCCATAATCTCTACTTTTTCTAAAATTATGGAGAAAGTTGTCCATCATCGTTTATCCAAATTTTTAGATAATTATAATTTAATTAGTGATAGACAATATGGTTTCCGTAAAAATTGTTCTACTGAATTAGCTATATTGGATTTAAATCAATATGTTTTGAATAGTATTGAATCTAAGGATTTGGCTATTGGAGTGTTTGTAGACATATCTAAAGCGTTTGATACTGTAAGACATGACTTATTGTTAAAGAAACTTCTTAATGTTGGTATTAGAGGTTCCACTTATGAATGGTTTGTAAGTTACTTAAGTAACAGAACACAATATGTTTCAATGGGTGATTCTGTTTCTTCGCTTCGTTCCATCAAATGTGGTGTTCCACAAGGTTCCATCTTGGGACCACTTTTATTTAACATTTTTTTAAATGATCTAACGAATTCATCATCACGCTTAAAATTCATATTATATGCAGATGATACAACGATTTTGTTGAATGGTAAATCTATAATCGAGTTAACTCAAGCGTTAAATGAGGAATTAGTTATAATTTCTTCATGGATGAAATTCAATCAATTGAAGATAAATTTATCAAAGACCAAATGTATTTTGTTTGGTCCATCTATTGTTACTAACCTGATAAATTTTGAAATTTTTATTGATGATAACTTAATCCCTAGAGTTCATTCGATAAAATTTTTGGGTGTAACACTCTCAAGTAATTTGAATTGGAAGGAACATATTCTGGATATTTCAAAGAAAATTTCTAGGGGGCTTGGTGTTATAAATAAACTAAGACAAACATTTCCACAAAAAATTTTATTAAATTTATATTTTACATTAATTTATCCTTATTTTATTTATTGCATCATCGTTTGGGGTAAAAATACAAAATCACATATATTAATCCTTACTAGGTGTCAAAATTATTTTATAAGAATAATATATAATCTTCATATGTTTGATCATATAACTTATTTTTTCAAAAAATCTGGTATTTTATCAATTAATTATTTGTACATTTTGAGAATCTTAATATTTGTTTATAAAATAGTTAAGTTAAAAATGTATAGTTATTTCCATAAATTTATTATTAAATCTAACTCAATTGTTAAGAGACAAACTAGACATACCCCTGAATTTTATGTTCCAACTGTAAGAACTGATCTGCTCTCTAATTCTTTATTTATTTATGGTATTAAATTATGGTCCTCCTTATCTTCTAATATAAAATTATTGTCTAGCATAAATAAGTTTAAGAAATCAATAATTATACTGTTAAATTTTGGATATTTTTCTACTGTTTAATTAAATATATAAAACTAAAGTTTATGTTAAATATCATTTATATTTCATCTATATGTTTTCATGACACTCTGGTTTTTATATTATGAACATTAAAATTATAATTTGTTGATTGGAACTTTAATTTTAGAGATTTTCATGTTAAAGTAAATTTAACAATTTCAGTTTTGCAACATCTCTTTTTGCTAATTATGTTATATAGTGTTTTATTTATTTCTGATCATATAACGTTATGGTTTTTGTTTTTTTTTTTTTTTTTTTTTTGGAGGTGGCCATACAAGCATTGCTTCAGGTCTCCATTAATGAAAATGTGTTAAATTAAAAAAAAAAATTAATTAATTAATTAAGAATGTATGCATGTAAGGTGTGTATCTATTATGTATGTATTTGTTTAATTTTTGATTTCATCACAGCATTCATCGTAACCTTTATCACAAAAATGGCAATTAGAAAAATTAAAAACAGTAATGATAATGATCCTAATAGTAGCCATCATCAACATCGTATTTGTGTTCGTGTTAAATTAGTAAATGAGTGATTGAGTGAGTGAATGAGTGAGTGAGCAACCTTGATGATGCCCTTGATAGCATCTGTTCTCAGTGATGGTTGGTGTCTCATCAATTCATCCACAGCACTCCCTAGACTTGTGGCTGTGTCACCTGGCATGTGGCATGTGTGCGTGTTGTGGGTGTGCCGTGCATGTAGGCATGGTCTCCTAAATAATATCCTACTGGTCGAGAAACTAAATGAAATTTCGTGTGCGCTCGACCCAAACTGAGGCCATGCTTGTTTGATGCATAAATGCTACTCGCTATATAAGTTGCTGTTGTTTACTTTTGAACGTTTTGATTTCGTTTATCAACGCTTGTGTTGATTTTGCTTTTTATTTCGCTGATTTATTTAAAAATATTAAAGTTATTAAAAATATTTATTTTAAATAATTAATTTCAAAATGGTTAATAAATGTTGTGTTTATGGCTGTAAATCTGGATATACGTCAGAAAATCGTTCGGAGTCTGAGATTACGGAGAAACAGAAAATCACGTTTCATAAATTTCCAATTGATGACGAAGAATTAGCAAGAAAGTGGTTGAAAAATATCGCGAGAAAAGATTTTCATCCTTCGCAACATACCAGGGTTTGTTCGAAGCATTTTATTCCAGATGATTTCATCACATCATCTCAGGACAGCAAAATCGCTCGTCAACGCCGAAACAACAAGGATACGTTTTTGATAAGACTTAAACCCGATTCGGTTCCAACCTCTTAGCAAACAATCTTACATGGCTAATTTTAGTAATATTAAAGAATTGTACCATTTAGAAAACTTAAGTTCCATAAAAAAAGCCTTCAAATTAAATAAAAATATTTTCAACCCATCATCTATTGAAAAAACATCAGTAAAATTTGCTACTGCTGTTTTTCATGAATCAACTTGCCATGCATTGAAATATTATGCAAATGAATTGAATAAACCAGACTGGGAAGAAACTTTTAATTTAATAGATTTAATGGTAAAATGTTGGAGTATTCTGAATGTCAAAACTCCAAATAAAGGTAAAGAAAAATGTCTAACTTTTATGGAGCCTATAACTTCATCAAATGATTGGAAGTTAAAATTTTTAATTGATTTCAAAGATTTCTTAAATAAATGGAAAAATACCAATAAACCTGGTCTGAGTAAAGAAACATTTTTTGCAATACAACACACCTGTGAAGCAATAGTGCAGTGCTCAAAATATTTATCTGAAAACAAGCATTTTAATTATGTGTTACTAGGCAAGTTACAGTCAGACTCTTTGGAATCTCGATTTGGATGGTATCGACAGCTATCAGGAGCAAATTACTACATATCTATGAAACAAGTGATCGACAACCACAATAAAATATGTGGAATTTCATTATTTAAAAATAGTGATTTTGATTTTAATGATATCAAACTGGCTTTTTCTTCATCAAAAAATTCAGACTATTCAAAAATGGCAGATGATATTGTTGACCAATTCAAATATCTTTACGAGCCTGAAAAAACAACACTTGATTCTATTTATGTTGTTGCTGGATATATTGCTAGATCTATTTTTCATAAAAATAAATGTGCACAATGTCTGGAAAATTTGGCAATAAATTCATATTTTGAAATCGAACTGGATGATGATTCCAGAACAACATATTTCGATCTAATAAATCGTGGGGGACTAAACAGACCATCATCATGTAACTTCTATTTTACTCTGATATGTTGGAAAGCATTTGAAGAATTAAAAAACAATGATATTTTACTACACAAATTTCTCTCTGTTTCAAACCAGCAACAATTATTTGGTGATATTGTAAATAGATTCAATGACAATAATGACTTGGAGAATGAATTTCCAGAATTTTGCACCACAGGGCATAATCTCAAACAATTAGTTTCAAATGTATTTTTTAACATTGTTGTAAATCATTTAATTAAATCAATTACAGAAAATGCAAATGAAATAAAGACTATTAATTATAAAAAAGAAAACTTTGTAAATTACAGAACATTTGAATTTATTTTCATAATTATATTTTTTTTTGCAATGAATACTGTTTTTATTTTTTTATTAAATGTTTAAAATATTTATCGTTTTAACATTTTAATCGTTTGTTCAAAGTATTAAAATGTTTAAGTGTTACAGAATTAAAGACGTTTCGTCGTTTACTTTATGTGTGTAGTATAGAATGCATGGCCTCAGTTTGGGCATGTGTAAATTTCAGTTTCTCGTCTAGTATCTATTATTTAGGAGTCTATAATGTAGGTGAGTTTGTGCGTGATTCCATGTATGAGATTCTGCGTTCTGTACGCGTTTGTATTTATGTTAATGTTATAGTCTTTTTAAGAACTTGTATATGAGTAAATGTGCTCACGAAATGTGCTCATTTCCATTCTTTCATATATTACAATTTTGAGCTCTCGTTGAATTGCCCCTCTTTGAATTTCATGTTTCTTGACAGTTTTTTATCACGAACCAATGCTAGTTACTTAATCGTCGGATTTTGCATCGATACAGACACAAAATGGCCCAAACGACTGGAAGCTGACAAATCTCACACCATTGTTTTGCTTCCTGAATGGCGGGTAGCAGGATATTGCCCCACGTTCATCAGCTTCATATATTCGATGACGTCAGATGACACACACCTCTTTACGTTGTTGAAATTATATGTGAGCTGGCGACGATATTTTAATTGAAATTCTTGTTACAAGACAAAACGTTTTAAGGAGTCTTTATTCGAGAGACAATAAAGAAGATAACCGTCTCCGTTGAAGAGTTGGGTGATTTCTAGGCTACTGGGTGAGGAATTATTTTTTCAAATGAATTATGCACTGCAGGTGGAGATAATTTATTATTATCGCAGCAGTCCACGCATTTCTTTCCAACTTGAACTTTGCTCTTTCACCAGCATTATTCTTGAGGCTGCTTTCTAGTTGGTGTACAGTTGTTAGGATATCTTTAAAAACCATGCTACCATGTTCGCAGAGTGTATGCGTTAGTGTCGGTCAAAATGTTCTAAATTCAATTTCCATAGTTGCCTTCCTGAGAGCCATTTCGCATTCGTGTAGCACATCTAAATCTTTACAACAATCACTGAGAGTTATTCTTGCAATTTGTTTTCTAATTTTCTCTGCGAGATTGGAATAGCCATCTTTCTTTCCAAAACGTGTTGAAAACTTTGATAGCCGTTTAGACAGCACTTTGGACAACACTTAACAACATTTTGATACGTCTTCAAGTTCAAACTTATCCAAGGGAATTAAAAACTGAACAACACTCAAATGGCATCAATTATTTCAAACATAACAGAGAAGTTCGCCATTACAAATTTTGTCAGCCAATTTCGATAACTCAACAGATATTATATAGATATATATGAGTATACAATTATAATAATTTTTGTGTGATTTTTTGAATAAAACAAAATAAATTATAATATCAAAATAAGTATATGCAAATGTATGTCACGACCAAAGGCCATACGTAAAGATCATAGAGGAAGGAGCGAATGAACCGACCAACCTGGCAAGTCAGAACTTCTCCTCCTCCTCATGGCAGGCAGGTAATCAGGGGATAGAAGGACTTTGAACAAATTGTCGAATGGTTTGCACGCCATGAATGCATTGAGACCCCGAGTGTTCAGACAGAGTGCACTGAAGACATTGGGCAGAGCTGATAGCACTTCCTTGGTTGCTGGCACCTTTTATTATTATTATTATTGTTGTTGTTTTTGTTGTTATGAGTATTTATATATTGCTGTACCATCTGCTTTTGTATATCGTTGTGCCATAATTTCGATACATCGTTGATTATCATTCATTGTATCATAATTAAAAATCAGTTATTACTATCTAAAACAATCGTAATTATTGTTGTTAGTTTAAGCCATAAAAATGACGTCAACAAATCAAGTAAAATAATAAAATAATAGGAACTTAACAAGTAGAGATTGAAAACACTGAAACCCTTAATCTGCAGCATCATTAATAATAGACTGTGGGCTGCTATTTACTCATGGACATTATAAAAAGGAATCGGATTTCACTATCATCATCATTTCACTAGTGAGCATATTATCAAGCATCGTTATGACTAGCAACCACCACAACAAAATCAGAAGCATTGACAATAGTAGAGTATCATGAAGGTCATTTCCAATGTCAACAAACAACAAACACCATCAACAAACAACATCAACAAACAACATACAACACCAAACAAACAACAAACAACATCAACAAACAACATACAACATCAAACAAACAACATCAACAAACAACGTCAACAAACAACATACAACATCAAACAAACAACATACAACATCAAACAAACAACATACAACATCAAACAAACAACAAACAACATCAACAAACAACATACAACACCAAACAAACAACATCAACAAACAACAACGTCAACAAACGCGAGCAAGGGAGGGACCACAGCAACAAGAACTTACATCTTTAACGAGTAGAGCTTGCAACATGACATCAGTGAGGCCATTTGATTGCAGCGAAGACAACATGGAAGGTTCTTGGAAAACATAGACTGTGACTAGTTCAGTTGCTGTAGCGTGATGCATTCATCAAGAAAGGTTGGAACATTTACACTAATTTATTTATTTACAAATTTACATTATTTATTTATTATTCAGTAACCAGTTAATTAGTTAATTAATTTAATTAATTAATTAATTTAAAAAAAGGTTAACAATATGAAGCATATATATAAATGATATATGGAAGCCAACAAGTATGAACACCACGTCACATCACGCCACACCACAGCACAGCACAGCACACCCCACCACTTTGATATGTAGTAGGCGAATGACAAAGCTAACCAAGTAGAAAGAGTGATGGCCCATAGTATTCTGCATTACTGATGATGTGCTTCAGTGAGTAAGGCAGTGGTCCATCCATCACTGCATCGTTTCATTTGATATAATTTACTATCATTTTAATAATAATAATAATCGTTGCCATCATTTTACGTTTATTTGATAATAAAAAGGTTTTTTAATTAATCCTTTTTTATAACACGTACTAATCATAATTGTTAGCTTATTTTATTTTGTGACTACATTGGGCATATTAGCAGCAGTTCGTGCGTGCATACGCACAGGGGCGCCAACTCTTCATCATGGATTGTATTGGCGCCCCTCTGCATGTACGCTTCGATGCGTGCGCGCGAATATTGTTCGTCAAAAATTTTCGAGGCAGGCATGGGGACATTTTGGTCTCCGCCTTTGTTTACCATAATAATAAATAAATAAATAATAATTATAATAATAAAATAACCATTATTATAAGTAGGACGTACTGCAAAAATGAACAAAGTAAATATAATCAACGACAAAATGAGCAATAAAATCAACAACAACACAAAAAAACAAACAAAGCAACATTAAAATAAGATAGAAAATAGAAATGAACGACAGCACAGCCTGACTCAACAACCAACTTACAGTGCCTACTGGCATCAGCGAATGATGCATCTGTGATGGTTTTCTTAAGGAAGTTCAGCATGGATTTCAAGAGGGCGGCCCTCTGAGGGAAGCACTGGCGAGTGGTGCCTGTCCCTGATTGGTGTGAACATTCAACGTTATATAATAAGAAGGCACTACCTCTTCACAAGCAGCATGCTTCGTGTGCAGGTGCGTGTTCAACATTATTTTGTAATGACATCAGCTCATCAGAAGTCATTAATAACAGTTTAAATATTTCTCACAGAAAAAATCTATCTTGAGTTTGTTA